CTGGTTATTCTAGTTAGCATTTTGTCTAATTTTTTTTCAAGGTTCTTGGATTCCTTGCATTGGGTTAGAACATGTTGCTTTAGCTCAGAGAAGTTTGTTATTACCCACCTTCTGAAGTCTATTTCTGTCAGTTCGTCAAACTCATTCTCCATCCAGTTTTGTTCCCTTGCTGGTGAGGAGTTATGACCTGTTGGAGGAGAAGAGGTGTTCTGGTTTTTGGAGATTTCAGCCTTTTTGCACTGGTTTCTTCCCATCTTCGTGGATTTATCTACCTTTGGTCTTTGAAGTTGGTAAGCTTTGGATGAGGTCTCTAAATGGATGTCCTTTCTATTGATGTTGAAACAACTTCTTTCTGATTGTTAGTTTTCCTTCTGTCAGGCCCCTCTGCTGCAGGTCTAGAGTTTGCTGGAGGTCCACTCCAGAGCCAGCTTGCCTAGGAATCACCAGCAGGGACCACAGAACAGCAAAGATTGCTGCCTATTTCTTCCTCTGATAGCTTTGTCCCAGAAGGGTACCTGCCAGATGCCAGCCAGAGCTCTCCTATATGAGGTGTCTGTCAGCCCCTGCTGGGAGGTGTCTCCCAGTCAGGAAACACAGGTGTCAGGGAGCCACTTGAGGAGGTAGTCTGTCCCTTATCAGAGCTTGAGTGCTGTGCTGGGAGATCTGTTGCTCCCTTCAGAGCTGCCAGGCAGGGATGTTTAAGTCTGCTGAAACTGAACCCACACTACCCCTCTTCTCAGGTGCTTTGTCCCAGGAAGGTGGAGGCCTTATTTTTAAGTCCCTGGTGGGCTGCTGTCTTTTTTCAGGGATGCTCTTCTTAGCAAGAAGGGAGTCTAGACAGTCTGCCTGCAGTGACCTTGTTCAGCTGCTGTGGGCTCTACCTAGTCACTATGTAAACTTTTTGGTTACTTTGTTTACACAGGTGAGGTTAAAACAGCCTACCTGAACCTCAGCAATGGCAGTCATCCCTCCCCCCACCAAGCTCAACCATCCCAGGTGGAGCTCAGACTGCTGTGATAGCTGGGAGAATTTCAAGCCAGTGGATCTTAGCTTGCTGGTCTTCATGGGGATGGAACCTGCCAAGCCAGATCCCTTGGCTCTCTGGCTTCAGCCCCCTTTTTCAGGGGAATGAGTGATTCTGTCTCACTGGCATTCCAGGCACCACTGGGGTATGAGAAAAAAAAAACTGCCACGTCTAAAATGGCCACCCAGTTTTCTGCTGAAAACCTGGGACGCTGGTGTTGTAGGCACTGAAGGGAATCTCCTGGTCTGTGGGTTGTGAAGACTGTGGGAAAACACAGTATCTGAGCCAGAGTGTCTGGAAAAGTCCCTAATGGCTTCCTTTGGCTAGGAGAGGGTGTCCTCCCACCTTTTGCACTTCCTGGGTGAGGTGATGCCCCATCCCGCTTCAGCTCGCCCTCCTTGGGCTGCACCCACTGTCTTAACCAGTCCCAATGAGATGAACCAGGTACCTCAGTTGGAAATACAGGGATCACCCGCCTTCTGTGTCACTCTTGCTGGGACCTGCACACCAGAGCTGTTCCTATTCTGCCATCTTTGCAGAAATGCTGCCTTCTTTTGGTTTTCTTTGTGCATACATTGCATTGGATGTATTGAGCTTCTTGGATCTATAGGTTTGTTTTTAATCAAATCTTGGAAATGTTCAACTATTATTTCTTCTAATCTATTTTTACACCCTATCTGTTCTCTCTTTTTCTTCTGAGACTCAAATTATAGTTTGCTAACCGTGTTGACGTTGTCCCACAAGTCACCAAAACTCTGTTCGTTTTGTCAATATTTTTTTCTCTTTGTTTTTCAGATTGGATAATTTCTCTTGACATATTTTCTAAGTTACTAAAACTTTCTGTTTTTCAGATTGGGTAATTTCTCTTGACAGATTTTCTAGGTTACTAACACTTTATTCTGGTACCTCCAATCTGCTGTTAAGCCCATACAGATACTGTACTTTTTGTTCTAAAATTTCCTTTCTTTTCAATTTCTCTGCTAAGATCCCCATTTGTTCACTTATTTTAATCACAGTTTTCTTTCCCTTCTATATATATAAAATGTTTATAGTATGCTTATAATACATTGAGGCCTTTTTCTTCTAATTTTAGCATCTGGTCCATCTCAGGGTATGTTTTACTGATTGCTTTTTCTTTTGACTATTGGTCACATTTTTCTCTTTGTTTATATATCTGATACTTTTTTGTTTATGCTGCACAATGTGGATGATTGTAGAGACTTTGGGTTGTATAGTTTTCCTTTGGTATATGCAAAAGATTGGTTCCAGGACCCCCTGTGGATACAAAATCCATGCATACTTAGGTCTTGCATTTGGTTCTTCAGAACCCACATATATGAAAAATTGGCTGTTTCTATGAGTGGGTTTCACATTCCACTGATACTATATTTTTATCCACATTTGGTTGAAAAAAAATCTGCATGTAAGTAGACTCATGCAGTTCAAAACCATGTTATTCAAGGATCAACTGTATATTCCTTCTTCTAAGAGAAGTGACTTTTTATTCTTATAAAAATTGATATATATATTATTTATAACAGCTTTATTGAGCTATAATTTACCTACCTACAATTCAGTGGTTTTAGTATATTCATGGATATGTGCAACCACTTAGAGTGTTTTTATAACCTCAAAAAGAAATACTATACTTCTTAGCTCTAGCTTTCCCACCCTTAACTGTCTCTATAGATTTGCTTGTCCTGAGTATTTCATTTAAATAGAATTTATAATATGTGGTCTTTTGTGACTCGTTTCTTTTACTTAGCCTAATGTTTTTAAGGTTCTTAAAACATTTGTAATCCATGTTGTAACCAGCACTAGTACTTTATTCCTTTTTGCAGCCATATGATATTCCATTGTATGGATATACCACAGTTTTTTAAATCCATTTATCAGTTGATAGATGGAGAGCTGATTTTCATTCTCGTGGGCAGCTGAGTTGGCTGGACTTAAACTCCATCAAACTACCTCTCTTTCCTAAGTACAAAGCTAAATAAGTACAAATCTCATCTCAAAAGGGTGATGAAAAATGAGAACACATGGACACAGAAAGGGGAGTACTAAACACTGGGGTCTATTGGGGGGAAAAGGGGAGGGCCAGTGGGAGGGGGATGTGGGGAGGGATAGCCTGGGGAGAAATGCCAAATGTGGGTGAAGGGGAGAAGGAAAGCAAAGCACACTGCCATGTGTGTACCTACACAACTGTCTTGCATGCTCTGCTCATGTACCCCAAAACCTAAAATCCAATAAAAAATTAAAAAAAAAAAAGAAAAAAAAAGTGTCCTCCTTTTTAGGATGGATGCCATTCCAGTTTCTGCATGTTCTAGATGTCTCTGATGCCTACAAATAGCTCTTTTTATATTTTGTACAGAATTTATCATATTTTTCTGTGTGAAGTTTAGCCAATACAATCTATTCCACTGTTATTGAGTGCAGAACTCACAATGCCTTGCATTTCAATTGTCAATACAGCTAATGGAGCCTTCCACAGACTTATCTCCTTCAAATCTCAAAAAACATCTTCCTCTTCCAACTCCAGATAAATGTCTTAGGTAAACAGAGAATGCGCTAGTGATATTTCGTCATTTCATTGATGTCAGCTAAAAAGGTGAAATCTTGGAAACACAAATTTTAGAGCTAAAGAGGTATATTGAGTGAGATTATTGCTGATGGAATTCAAGTTTCCATTCTTTGCTCTTTACTATTGGGAAAGTTGCACTTCAAGACTTGAAATCACCCCTTGTGATTGAGAACCCACCTTGACCAGGGTGTCTATAAAATTCAGCCTTGCTCCTTTTTGCTTTCCAGAGGAAACTGTTTTCCTACCTCCATAGTAAAGCAGAGGAAAGGAAGTACTGGAACCACAAGTACCACCATTCTGTCTCCTACCTTTGGGACTTAAAAATAATAATAAAATTAAAATAATAAGGCTGGGCGTGGTGGCTCAAGCCTGTAATCCCAGCAGTTTGGGAGGCTGAGGTGGGCAGATCACGAGGTCAAGAGATTGAGATCATCCGGGCTACCATGGTGAAACCCCGTCTCTAATAAAAAAACAAAAACAAAAAAAGTAGCTGGGCTTGGTGGCCTGCACCTGTAGTCCCACCTACCTGGGAGGCTGAAGCAGGAGAATTGCTTGAACCCGGGATGCGGAGGTTGCAGTGAGCCAAGATCGTGCCACTGCACTCCAGCCTGGCACCTGGTGACAGAGCGAGACTCTGTCTCAAAATAATAATAATAAATAATAATAAATAAAATTAAAATAATCACCAAATAAAAAAATCTCTGTGAAGCCTTACCTCATCTTCTGTCCTGCTAAATCCTAGTTAGTCTTTGAAGCCTCTCTGTAGCCCTCTGATAGTTCCATGAAGGAGTAGGACTATGTTTTAGGTAACAATTGTATTCCAATCCTGTTAGCATGCCTCGTACATAGTAGGCACCCAATAAAGGTTTATGCAACAGACATTTGAACAGCTAAACATATAATCTGATGAGAAGAAAAGCTTGTAGTTCTGACATTCTGTATGGCAATTCTGAATCTATTACCTGCTTGCTTTATTTCACTGATTTAATTATGAACTCCAATTGAGAGTACAGTAGGTAATATCTAAGTTAAATTTGAAAAATCCTGAAAACCAAGTTCAAATCATGAATAAGTTTTAGAAATTAAAATAATCTCTATGTTGCCTTTTTAGAAAACCTCTGCTGTAATTATTCTGGATCAAAGTACAAGGAAACGAGGACATAAATCCTATTCTTTGTGTTTTTTCACACATTAGAAGATTACAATGCCATAGACAGTTACATTTATTATAGCACTTAGAAATACTTTATGATTAGAACACAATAGAAAGTATCACAAATTATTGATGTCACAAGATATAATTTAAATAGTGTCAGAGAAAAACATTTCAAAATAAAAATAAGAAGGTTCAGTCACGTACTACCATTTTGATTGTTTTTCTTCATAAAAATGCAGATTATGTGGCATCTCTGGGGAGACTTGTGGCTTCTCGGTATGCTGATGGTCTGTTTCCACAGCTCTACAGAGCAGAAGATGGCAGAGTATACAATGTAAGTCATAATTCCCTCAATGCTCAGTCCTGTGACATGCGTTGGGAGTGTGGTGTGGGGAGAGACTTGTGCTGCTTGGCAGTGATACAGCTGAGCCAAGGCCTCATCAGGCTGGGAGTTTCCTTTTGGCATTGGTAGGGTGATGAAAGTCATGATCAAGGAAGGAAGGTTTTGATCCATTAGAGATTAGTGCAGAAAGCTCTAGATGAGAGAGGAAAACCTTTGCACATTATCACTGTTTTTGCTTTGAAAATAAAGGAAAAAAGCAATAAGACAGAGATTATCTGAAAGCTAAGAGCAAACTGCCGTTATCTGACAAAAGCACCAGGAATAGGGGCAGGATTTGCAAGATGGAGAATGAGCAGCACCTCTGACCAGAGTCCTTCATTCCCAACAATTCAGCACCTGAGTCTCATGCCTCCTATATGTGATCCCTCCTATATGTCAGGCCAACCACATGGAGCTCAAGTCTGTTGGAGACACATGTCTCATCATGTCCATTTATGGATTATTTGCTCATGTCAGTGTACATCCATGTACTGCCTGGACTACTGTTTCCTAATATTTAGAAAATTTAAATTACTTTTTTTGGAAAAATTTTTTTTTTTTTTGAGAAAAGTTTTGTAGACTTTATTCTCAAATCTTCTCCTTTTCTTACAGGAGTGCCAGTGAGTCATCAGTTTGGTCTCTTTACATAATCTCATATTTCCCAGAGGTTTTATTCATTTTTTAGAATTCTTTTTTCTTTTGAGATACATTCTCGTTCCATCACCCAGTCAGGAGTGCACTGGTATGATCATGGCTTACTGCAACCTTGATCTCCCAGGTTCAAGTGATCCTCCCACCTCAGCCCCCCAAGTAGCTGGGACCACAGGCCTGTGCCACCATACCTAGCTGATTTTTGTATTTTTTGCAGATGGGGACTTGCCAGGTTGCCCAGGTTGGTCTTGAACTCCTAAGGTCAAGTGATCTACCTGCCTAGGCCTCCCACCTGGCGTGGCCGCGACCTCATCCTTAGAAAGGTGTGAAGCACCATGCCTGGACCTTTTTCTTTATTTTTGTCTGCCTGCATTGATTCAAAGGAGTCGTTCTTCAATTCTGAAGCTCTTTCCTCAGTTCAGTCTATTTTGTTGTTAATGATTCCAATTGTATTATGAAATTTCTGTAGTGAATTATTCAATTCCAGAAGTTCAGTTTAGTTTTCTTAATATGGCTATGTTCTCCAATTCGTGGATTATTTTACCATTTTCCTTGGATTGGGCTTCCACCTTCTCCTATACCTTTATGAGCTTTTTTGACATCCAGTTCCCGAATTCAGTGTCTGTCATTTCAGCCATTTCAGTCTGGTTAAGAACCTCTGCTGAGAAGTAGTGTGATTGCTTGGAGGTAAGAGGATACTCTGGACTTTAGTTTCCTGAATTTTTGCACTGGTTCTTTCTCACTGTGAAGGCTGATGCTTCTTCATCCTTTTAAGTTGCCATCCCTTGGATAGGTCTTTTTGTTTTTATGTTCTTTATTTCCCTTGAGGATTTGACTGTAATGTGAGTTGGGTATAGTTGATTGGCTTCATTTCTGGATGCTTTCAGAGGGCCAAGGCTAGCCTGGGCTGCATGCTCTAACCCTGGGGGCTAGGATCAGGCTGTAGCTTTGTCCTCTGGACCCTTGAAGTTGAGCACTGGCTGTGCTGGGGCAGCCAATGTGCTACCAGGCTGCTGGCAAAAGCCTTCCATTAGGAGCAGCTGGCAGTGCTCTCGTGGGGCAGCCAGTGGCGGGGGGATCATAGGTGAAAATACCCTAGTAGGGTGTTGGGGCTGCCCAGGAAACAGCAGAGAACCTGGAGGGATACTGTTAGAGGGACAGCCAGGCCATTCAGCCCTTGGAGAAACCTCCATGATGGTGGTATGTTGCCTTCAGCTTGAAGATGCACCTACTACTTACTTTTTCCAAACTTTGAATTACTTTTTTTTTTTTTTTGAGACACACTTTCACTTTGTTGCCTAGGCTGGAGTGCTGTGGCACCATCTCAGCTCACTGCAACCTCTACCTCCTGGGTTCAAGTGATTCTCCAGCCTCAGCCTCCCAAGTAGCTACAGGCATGTGCCATCACATCTAGCTAATTTTTGTATTTTTAGTAGAGATGGGGTTTCACCATGTTGTCCAGGCTAGTCTCAAACTCCTGCCTCAGGTGATCTGCCCATCTTGGCCTCCCAGAGGGCTGGGATTACAGGTGTGAGCTACCATGCCCAGCCTAGCTTAAAATACTTTTTAAACTAAGCTGGGTCCTAAGCAATTATATCTGTGGAATCCTGATTTTGGTGTGCTAAGTATATTTTTTTATTTGAACTACGTTAAAATTAATGCTGAACTCTTAAAAACATCTGTCCCTTTACCTTCAGCAAAATCCACCTCCACATTACCTGTGGTGTGCCCACCCTGGCTTCTGTGTTGTAGCAGCAGCTGTGGATGCTGGTGAAGGAGTTGGTAATTCTGCCTTAAAGGGCCATAGGAAGCCTCAGAGAAGTGATGCTGGAGCTTGAGGAGTGTGAGTGAGCTTGAGAGACACACGGGACAGGGAGGGAAGGAGCCCGAGCCAAGGAACACAAATGTGGAATTAGGTGATACGGTCTGAAAGCACGTTTTCCAAGATAAAGTACCATATCTTCTTTTGAAATATGCTTTGTTCCAGAATAGGGCACTATTTTTTCTTGTTCCTTTTCTGTCTTCTGCTGCCTCTCTACCTCCTGAAAGGCCTTGCACAGTGCATCTCATCTATGTGAAGGATGGTTTATTTGTGCATACAAGAAATTTTCTACAAGTCTCTGTCATCATTTGGTGAGCAGCCCAAGGACTATTGGTAGCAGCAGTGAGTAATCAGGTGGTCCAGGTACAGGGGAACTTCGCCTGAGAGAGGAGGGCATGAGGACAAAGGTCATGAGCAGAAGGATGACTAGCCAGGATGGCATCCTGTAGAGGAAGGCAGGAAGGTGTGCTGGCAAGTTTCATAGCATTTTCGGAAATATTTTTGGAATGTTATATTTAGGAAATATTTTAGCGAGACATTCTTTTCCATCTGCCTTTGTCGGTCTCCTCTTCTACCTAATTGCTTTCTTTTGTTCTTTTTTTTTTGAGATGGAGTCTAGCTCTGTTCCCTAGACTGGAGTGCAGTGGCGCAATCTTGGCTCACCACAACCTCCTCCTCCCAGGTTCAAGTGATTCTCCTGCCTCAACCTCCTGAGTTTAGCTGGGACTACAAGCACACACTGCCATACCCTGCTAATTTTTTTGTGTATTTCAGTAGAGATGGGGTTTCACCATGTTGCCCAGGCTGGTCTCGAACTCCTGAGCTCAGGAAATCCATCCGCCTCGCCCTCCCAAAGTGCTAGGATTACAGGCGTGAGCTACCGTGCCCGGCCTCTACCTAATTTCTTAAGAGTGCCCTGGACTTTTCCTGATAATCTGTAACTATAAAGATAAAACACAATATGGAAAGTTTTTTTTAAGACTGCTATATTTTGAACAGATCACATCATCATCTTTTCGTCTGTGGGGAATCCAAGCGTTTTTCAGTTGAAAGATCGGAAGCTTTTCTCCTGGATTATGTAGTGTTTGGAGGATCATTGACAACATTGTTATCAGTGCACAGTTCCTGAAGGCAGAACTGTGGTTCTCATGACTTATTTTGGTACTGCTTTATTGTTTTTGTCTTTTATTTTCATTAAGCTGACAGCTAAATCAGAACTGATTTATCAGTTCGTGGAACATTTAACACAAGCTGTGGAGAGCTACAAGCAGCGAATGGACTGGCTTACCAGCAAAAGCCGGCAGATTTTTGGTGTCATCTTGGAACAGTGCATCACCATAGTGCTGGATTTTGGCGGCATTCTGGAGGGAGAGCTTGATCTGTGCCGAGAGGCTCTAACAATGGTCCTCCAGGAGCAGGTGGCTCATATAACCAACTTCAATATCATACGGTGAGTTCCCATGGGAAGGGAGGATTTTAGTGAAACTTCATAGTAACTTGTACATATTTGGAGTTAAGTAGCACAGCTGACACAGTTAGCTCTATGGTAAGGGAGAGGCATTATCTTATACTTTCCCAGAAGTTGTAATCTCAGCAGCAATCCCACAGTGAATAAATCTTAGGAAATTTTATCTGCTTTGCACAGGGTGTCTTAGCTTTCACATTAAAAGAGATTTAGGAACATGCATTTCTTCAGCACATGGGAAATATAAGAATTTGAATTATGGCAAATATATATTTAAGGCCATAAATCTCTTCATTCATTTTAGCTTTTAACTCGGGTAATGAATTCAAAGGTCACTAATTTCACTGATTTTCCAGACTGAATTAACAACTCAAGTTGACCTCCCCTATAAGTTGACTCCTTTAACCAGAACAATTGGTGGCTGGTTTTGTAGAATTTCCCATATTTCAGAGTTTTCACAACATTTATGGATTCTTGGATTCAAGAGAACTTGGACCTCAGCACTAACTTCTCATCTGGAAAAGTGATTGCATCTCCCTGACAAAAAAACATCTGGATAAGGGTTGGGGAAGGAACTACCTTATTCAGTTTTTCTGTTTTTAATCAAATACTTTCAGCTAAATAGAGGACATCTCTGAAGACAATGCCTACTTATGATCTATCTAGATTCTATTTCTGTCACAGATATATTACTGAAGGAATCAAGTGCTTAAGTCTGCAAAGCTTTTGCTTTCTGGGAAACCTCTGCTACAACATAGATGTCACTCAGCTAGATTCTCTATCCAGGAAGCACATAGCAGACATGAGTATGAGCCAGCCCAGCTTCTGATGGCAGGCCATAGGGGCAATCAGGCCACTTTATTTGTAATTATTGATTGCAAAAAAATTGAGATAATTCAAATGGCTCTTCTTTGTTTTGGAATTGGGGCTTCCACCAGTCATTTATAAGCCGAAACTAAATGGTTTAAGCAAAATTTCTCAGGATTTAAAACGTAATATTCTGCTGAACTCAGAACAATACCATTATTAATACAAGAAAAGGCAACCTGTGGGAATCTTTCAGGACAATATAAACAATGTCATAAAGAATTGGAAGTAAAATTTTAGAGTAATAGAATTGATGGTGATTTCCGAATCTTTATACTGTGGATTATTATAAATTTACCCTTAAGAGAAGCCAGTTACATATAAACTTGCCTGTTTATAAAAATAACTTCTCTTAATATTTTAAAGGACTTATTGTTAATGTTTACCTTTCTGTTTCTCACGTAAGCATTGTTTTTCCTACTCAGCACAGCTTACAGAAGATAGTGGTGCTTTGGGGAACCTGTCTTGAACAGCTTGCTGATTTTGTTGGTAACATCAGAGGCTGGGAGCTATGATTTCTTTCTTTTTCAGCTCTAGAGATGGATGTTGGTGGCTTGCTGCTCATGGCTGTGAGAGGGAGGGTTGGCATCCCCAGTAGCATTGATCACTGCCCAGTGACCCCTCCATGTGATCCCTTTCAGGGTTTCTCAAGAGCCTGTGAAATGGCAGGAAAATGCTACTCCTGTGACCAAACAGTCCATAGCTGCTGCTATCCGTTGGGTTGAGAAACTAACTATTGAACTGACTGTGAGCAAGGTTGGCCGCATGGATGCTCTTCTGGAAGCTGGGAAAGACAAGACTGTAAGTGCGTGTTCATGGCTGGTCCTAGGCCATGGGGGTGGCTTCCAGCTTAACTCTTCGCACTGAGTGACTTTACATGGCCCTTCAACTGATCTTGGGCCCCTCCCAGCAGGATCCCACAGAGACCTCATCAGGCACTGATGGTGATGGCAGGGCTGGACCAACCCAAATGAGGCCCCCAAATACCCTGAACCAGGCTAGGCCCTCTCTGTGGGGTGACTGGGGATGCAGGGTAGACCCTTGTTTAGCCAGTGCTGGAAGAGCCAAGCACTACTCACACCCACTGAGCATCAAGAAAGGATAGGAGTGAAGCCATAGTTTGGCATCTCTGCCATATTAATTTCACTCTTGCTCTCCTGCCAATTAGATCAGTTAGTCTCTTAGGAGGAGGAGAGAGAGATCGAAAGACTCCTCATAGAACCCTGAGGATGGGGAAATAGGGTTTTCCCAACATCCACGTTCTGAATCTTTCCTGGTTCCTCTTCTTCACAGATGATCTGTCATCTGTCATGTACTTTCCAAGGTGAAGTACATACAAGCTGATGACTCCATCCATTTTTGGGTGTCAACGTATTGACATGAATTTTGATAAGGAACCTTTTGGAAATAAAGCTTTACCTGGAAGAAGTGATTAGATGGTGGTGTGTTATGTTTCTTTGAGCCGCAGGGTCTGTGTTTCTGGGAGCGACTTTAGTAATGGGAGTGTTAGGCGCAGTGGAAAGCCAGTAGAGACACACTCTGGGCAGGTGGGCTCCCTGTGAGAAGGTCTGCTTGCCTTTGGATACAGTTACTTAACAGTTGCAAGCTTCCTCCACTCTGGAACCCTGGGGTTTCTGTAAGTTTCAAGCCCTACCAAGCTGCATCAAGAAGTCCATTCTTGGAGAAAGAGGCCACGTGCTGGCCTCTTGAAAGATAGCCCCCAGTGGTCACCAGCCTGTTTTATCAATACTGAAGGTGAGGATTTGTAATTGGAAACACATTGTTTTTCCTTCCAAAGCCAAAGGAAAAAATGTTTTCCATTAAGGAAGAACCAGATACAAGCTTTTTTGTTCCTTGATCCTTAGAGTTTGTTTTAACATCTGTAAAATTTCAAGTGTCTGGACACCTTAATAAGCATTCAAAAAATGGAACATTACCCATGCTCAGGGTGTGTGTACATGAGCCTGTGCACACAGCTGTTTTCTTTGTGAACCTGGCTATTGTGGTCACAGCTGACCGTGACCCCCTGACCTGACTGCAGGGTCCCCAGTGATCCTGCCTTTCTGTTTCACTCCCTCTGGTTTGTGCCTCTTTTTTTGTCTGGGGTTCATTCCTATCCCAGGAAGTAAGGAACCATTCAGAGAGTTCCAGGGAAGTCCTATAGAGGAAGAGGAACCAAGAAAGAAGCTTCCAGGCACTGCTCATCAAATGCTGCCTGAAAGCTTTTGAGAAGAGGCTGTGGAGCACAGCACAAGCCAGGCCTACACAGACTGCTGTGCCCCTCTGCCCATAGCCTCGATTTGAGGGTGGACTCAAGGAAAATTCCAGCAAATGCAACTGCCTTGCGTATAAAAATGCTGTGCCCTGTTTTATGAGGAGATAAAGAACACGTGTGTGTGACGGGGCAGGGAGAGGTGGGTTCCCATAAGTCCTGCTTCTCTGCTCCATGCCTGTCATGGCCACCCCAGTGAGTTCCGAATTTATCCAGATAGCTGCAGTTTGCTCTGAAGAGAAAAGATGGAAAGCTTAAGGAACGTTTCAAACAGCAAATATAAACGCCCAGACTGTTCCTGCTGATGATAGCCTGCTGCAGGTTAGCGTCTCCCTTCATGAGCAGGTACTGAGAGGAGCCAAGAAATTGAGTGTTGTCCTGTATCCACAAAGGAACATGCAGGTCTGATTCCTGTACTAAGTCCACATGAGGAGTAGGGCTGAACCACATGCTTGGTCATGGAGAAGAAGGATGCCCAGAGAGGCTCCTGGCCCCCTCCAGGCACAGGCTTTGTAACCATGGCGGGCCAAGAAGACTGAAACAGGAAGCAATGACAGAGGGGGGCCCTAGGTCTAAGAAGAGCCCGTGCAGAATGGGAAGTCTGTTGAAATCCTGGCTCTACTCATAGCACTCGAACAGTACTATTGATAGATGAATTACTGTTGCAGCCTATGAAAAGGAACCTGGCTCATGGGGTGGGCAGCACGTGAGGTTCTGGGGTCATGTTTGCAGGTTGAGGGGGTTGACGTCCTCAGAGACCAGGTGTGTGGACCAGCACAGAGTTTCTGTTCTTCAGTAGCCCTGGTCCAGGACATGCATCTTTGGCAGTTGGTAGCTTCCCAGGCCCTATGAGGAAGGATGGTGTACAGGACGAAAGGGAAGGCTATTTACCCAGAGCCCTGGTTCTAAGCTGCCTAAGAAGACTGAGGGGCTTTTGTCTCTGCCAGGACAAGGCCACCTACCCAGAAGACACCTGCATTTCTGATTCTGTTCCTCTCTTCCATCCACCTGCTTGCACGTATCTGTTTAGTTTTTGGTTTCCTGGGAGACCAAGTGAGTGGATTAACGACAGACCCACATGATTTCATAAAGAACCTTCACTGCTGGACTGAAAGCCGAAGGCCTGGCCACATGAATCCATGACCCTGGCAGTTCATTCATTTCCTTGTACTGGTTCAGACAGGCATCAGGTCTTTTTGTTTTTGTGTCTCTGATGCCTAACAAGGGCTCTATTAATGCCTGTTGAACAGTGAAGGGTTGGAAATAATTTTGATACTCTTATGTTTGAGGGGAAGATGTGGGTCCCATTTTCAAGCTATGGAATAGAGTTGAGTTTTGTGAATTGAAGGGAGATGGTCTGTGTGGGACTGAACAGGTGAATGTGGTGAGTCTTATAGGACCCTGGTGGGGATGGCAGGTGGGGACAGAGACCCTGAAACCTGGGAGGCCAGAAAATCGGAGGTGGTGAAGGGTCTTAGAAGGGATCTGAGAGGTGAACTAGGTCAATACCATGGGGACAGTCACCCCATGGAGGGAATCAAAAGATCAAATGGGCTGAGACAGCAGAGGGCTCCCACAGGTACAGGGGGATTTCAGAGGTCAGATCCGAGGTCTGGAGCTGGCCAGAAATGTTGTAGTATTCAAAGTTGTAGGCAGAACAAGACAGAATTTTGCTGGATCTTTCACTGCTGTTCCAATTGACTTTCTTTTTGCTCTTTGAAGAGTGAGGATTTTTATACCTGGAAGCCTAGGGGATGAGAGCACAGGCTCTGGCCAGTGGGACAGAGGGCAGTCAGAGTAGAAATGCACACTCCTAGTCTGTTTCTTTCTTCCCCCAGAAGCTGCAGCTAGGAAGATGTCAAGGACTCCTTGGTGGGGCAGAATGCATGCTACTGTGTGAAGCTGCAGAATGAATGCCCAGATGTAATAAGGCATTTCAAATGAAAACATAAAGGCTTCTACCAACTTGATGTAGTATGAAATGGCAAGAGTTTTTGACTCATTCTGAAGAAGCTGAATGGAACTTATGTATTTTATCAAATTCAGTGCAAATGAGCATTTAGGGAAATGCGGTCAGTGAGGAATCTACTCCAGGACTGAAGGCTGTTACTGAGCTTGAGGACTGGCCTTTGCCTTCAAGAAGCTCAGAGACACTGGTTAAGGGTGCAGATCCCCAGGAGGATAACTCCCTTAAGCCACACAGCCTCCTGGTCCCAACTTTTGATCAGTGGTGTTGGTATCAGAGGGTAGGAGCCTGAACCCTTGAAGTAAATTTTTTCACTTCCATCGTGGGGTAATGATGGAAGTGAAAAACGTGCCTGCCCGGGGCCACCTTCTCTTGCTTGATCTTACTTTCTGAATTCTGGGGCTCACATTGATCTCTAACAGGTGACCAGCCTTGCCATGAACAGCACAGTATAGCCGTGGGCAGCAAGGGCAGGGCTCGTGAGGCTGGGCAGCCTGGGCTTACCAGCTCCAAGGCCAACTCAGTTTTCCTTTCCAAGCCTCAGTTTCTTCATCTGTATACTGGGGATGGTAATGATTCATGCTCCACAGGACTGTTGTATTGAGTAAAATAATTCATTTTAGTTTATCATCTCAAATAGCAAACAGTCCTCAAGCCATTTTGCTTTAAGAGGCATTTTGCCAGTTTCATGGTGGACAGGAATAGGTAGCATATTTATTCTTTCAGTTTTTCTAAGTGTTATCATATGAGCAGAAAGGAGAGGCAGAAAGACTGTGTGCAGGAGAGTGGTGGGGGCAGATAGGTGGTCTCCATGTAAAGCATGTCCCAGGAAATCTGTAGCACAGAGTTGACTGAAAATGTATGTGATTAAGAAGCTGAGTAATGAACTTAATGAATAGTGAATAACGTTGCAGCTTTAGTAAGGGAAGGAAATCCTGACTCACTGTTGGCTACAGCAACTTTTGGTTTGATGAAATCTTGAGGGAAAAACATTTCTGCACAAGAACTTCAGGTTTTTGGATTATTGTCAGAGCAAAGAAGCTGAGTTTACATGATGTGCAAGTGGGCATGTGTGGTGTCAGGAGCGGCTGACAGACCACCTCGAGATGTGTGTCCTCACCTCCCTCTTCACCTAACAAACCCTAGAAAATACTCTGCTCCCCTGTCTCAGGCCATGTGTCATTTAGATCCGTACAACAGGATGAGCCTGTCCCCATGCTAAACTTGGGCACTGACACAGCTGGAAAACTCGGATAAATAATAGGGCTGCTAAGTGGAAGCCTTTTAAATGCGTCTCACACAAAGTCATGCGTAAGACCAGGAAAAGAACGAAACAATGCCTCTACTGGCAGAACAGTATTGGCTGTCTATAAGGAATCCGGAGAAGATGACTTCTTCCTTCTTTCAGGGTTTTTTTTACTCCCAGTTTACTGACTTGAAGGAATTTACAGTATCCCTCAGTCTTTTACCACTCGATAGGCACTTTTTAGAATCAGGGAGTTGGTGTTGAAAGGCCTGAGAGAAAGAGGCCTGGGAGGGGACCAGGGCTTTCTGTGCCTCATTGGTGGAGGGATGTTTTTCAAGTTGCCTGATATCAGCTCCCACTCTATCTTTCTCCTAAGTCCCAGTTTGGGCCCCGCCCCCTGCCTCCCACCCTCACCCCCTCCGCCTCCTTGGCACACAGTCCATCTGTTGCAGGCAGAGCACCCCAACCAACTAGAAATCAACCATGAGGCCACTCCCACCCTTGGCCAGGTGAGTTTAGGGTTTGGGATAGATGCAGAAGTGAGGCCATTTGTTGACTATGTTCAGCTCACCGGTATTTGGGATTAGAACAAGGAGAGGGCCGTGAATCCTAAAGGGATGGTGACATCTATTTATCCTCTACCACAATACATTTGCTAGGGTTTCTTCCCCAGTTACGTGTGGACACACTCCATCGGGACATTTTAGGGCAGGTTGAGAGGATATGGATTCCTGGCTCTCCTTGGGTTTTTCACTTTCCAAGATGTATGGAAATCCACACATAGGTGTAAGTCATCCTGTTTCAACTCCATCATGAATAATAAACTGCATTATCTCCCTTTTTACGAGGGAAGACACTGGAGTTAGGTCACTCGCCTAAGGTGTCAGAGCTCCTGGGTGGCAGGGGCAGGGAGTACTGAGAAAGCACCATCCTGGGAGGATTGAGGGTGGCAGGGATGCAGCAGGGCAGGAGGGGCAGCTGTCTCAGGGCCTGGGAGTGGGTTCTCTATCTCTCAGTTCAGCAGGTGGCATTTCTCTGAGGTTGTCTCCTAACTGGGGGAGGTATGCACCTCCCAGAATCACTGGTTTAAGTTGTGTGTGTGTGTGTGTGTCTCCTGACATGGGGGTTGCTTATTCTCCTGGTCTTTTCATGGCCTGGTTTGGTGTTGAAAGGCAGGGCACTGCAGGCGGACCTGGCTTCTGACCAGCTGTGTCAGGACAGTCTCATCCCAGCCCCAGGCATGCGAGTCCCTGCTGAGGTGAGCCAAGAGTTGGAGCCAGCTGGCGATGTGCCCTCCTTTCTATTTTCTGCCTCAGACAGAGGATACATGAGTTTGCATTGTGGGATTCTGGCACCACCACGGAAATGGCAGATAAGCTTCCTGCCTGCAGTGGCTGTGCCAGTGCTTCCTTCATTGCTTGACTTGAAAATAACCACTCTGAACCTGTGCGATGTATTTGTGGGCCAGAGGAAGTTCTCCAGATCTCCATATTCTTCTCATGCCATACCCAAGACAATAGCCACCGCTGAGAGACCTCTTGGCACCAAGCCTCGAATATCTCACTTCCTGACTGGCCCTGATGTCCTCACAAAACCCTGGGTAGGGCTGCTATTTTTTCTGCCCATTTTTTTTTAAAGAGGTCATTTTGTAGAAAGTGTATTACTGATGAGTCTAGTACCACACTAGGGCATGTTGAGGAGATAAACCGTTGGCATCACTGTTTTGCAGACTGAATCCATTTACTACTTTGTGGTGGGGGATGTTCCTGAAGAATCCAAGGAGCTTCTCCTCCAGAGTGCCTTGGAGACCCCATATCCAGTCCACACAGTATCCTTCAATGCCAGAGAGGAAGGCACTATAGCTTTCCTAAAGGACCTGAGTGCCAAGACCCACAGCAGGTAGGCAGAAAATGTGCTCTTGAGTGACATCAAGTGGGTTGCCTGCTCACACAGGATCAACAGTGGGTCCTGCATTCTTCATGGCTTTAAACAATCTGTTCCTATGTTCTCCTCTTTCCAGTATAGTCTTTAGTCTGTCTGCATCTTTTCATCCCCATCCTGTATTAATCATGCGTATTTTCTGCAGTTCTGATGCTTTGACCTCTTGGGGCCTTGCTGGCCTAGGAGACCGTGTCCCTCCCAAGGCTAGCCAATTCCTAGAGATAGCAAATTACTCACTGGGGTGCACTTTCATATGCAAACCAACCGACCAGAGCCCACACTGTCAGTCCAGGCTCCCTCACTTAGGACCACTGTTCTCTACCGTGATCACTCCAGGGCCATACACCAGAAAACTCAGGACAGCCCCTACACCCCAGAGCCCACAGATGTTATTCAAATAGCCAATCCTAAGCCTGCTCACTCGTGTTCTCCTCTTTCTTACCTTGGAAGCTGTGTAGGTAAGCCTAAAAGCCTTCACCTACCTTTCCCCTCACTCCTTCTGCCTCCTGGCTGACCTGGTGCTTCCCTGTGTGGCCAGTGTGGCACGCTGTGCCCCTCTCTTCTTCTGGGAACTGCGCTAGTCAGCTTGGGCTGCCATAACAAATTGCCACAGGCTGGGTGGCTTAAACAAGTATTTATTTCTTACAGTTCTGGAGGCTGGGAAGTACTAGGTGAAGGCGAATTCAGTTTCTGGTGAGGGCTCTCTCCCTGCCTTGTAGGCAGCTGCCTTCTCACTCTGTCCTCACATAATGGAGAGAGAGAGAGAGTGTGTGAGCACTCACTGGTGTCTTTTCTTCTTTCTGTAAGTCACTCATCCTATGGAATCAGGGCAGCGCCCTATGACCTCATTTAACCTTTATTACCTCCTGTTCTATCTCCAAAAACAGTCACATTGGGAATTAGGGCTTCAACATACAAATTTTTTGACTTGGGGTTGGGGGAGTATAGTTCAGTTCAGAGTGGAACTGAGTAACAAACTATCTTTTCAATGGCAATAGGCTTATCTGTTGGCCTCACAATACACGAATAATAGTAAAACCTGCATTTTAAAACATGTGTCCCCGCACCCTGGGTCTGTGTGTGTGTGGATAAATTTAGGTCCCTCATAGAGAAAGACCAGCTACTTCTGTGGTTACAAGGAGAATTATAAAATCCTTCCTAAGTTCTTCTTGAAATGGGTACAAGGTCTTCCCAGAACACTTGTTCTTTAAATTTTTTTTAATTGATATATATTTGTATATATTTATAGGGAATATGTGATATTCTGTTGAATGCATAGAATGTAGAATGATCAAGTTGGGATTTAGGGTGTCCATCACCTTATTTATCATTTCTGTGTGTTGGGAACATCTTAAGTCCCCTCTTCTGGCTATTTTGAAATACAAAATACACTGTTGTTAACTATGGCCACCCACTTTATCATCAGAACATTAGAACCTACTCCTTCTATCTCACTGTATGTTTTTACCCATTAACCAACCTGTTTTTATCCCCAATCCTCACACCTCTCCCAGCCACTTATCTGTCATTCTACTCTCATCTCCATGAGATCAACTTTTCCACCTCTTGCCCATGAGTAAGAACTCGTGATATTTGTCTTTTTATACCTGGCTTATTTCCTGTAATATAATGACATCCAGTTCCATCCATGTTGCTGCAAATGACAGGACTTCCTTCTTTTTGTGGCTGGATAATATTTATTATGTATATACCACCTTTCCTTAGCCGTTCACCCATTGATGGACTCTTAGGTTGATTCCATGTCTTGGCTGTGGTGAATAATGCTGTAATAAACACAGGGCGCAGCTATCCCTTTGATGTGCTGACTTCCTTTTCTTTGGGTAAATAGCTGGTAGTGGGATTGTTGGATTGTATGGTAATTCTATTTTTAATTTTTTGAGAAATCTCCATACTCTTTCCTATAATGGCTGTACTAATTTACATTCCCACCAACAGTCTATAAGACTTCCCTTTTTCTGCCCCCTCACCAGCATCTGTTATTTTTCCTCTTTGATAATAGCCCTCCTAACAGGGTAAGATGGTATCTTATTCTTAAGTGTAGGTGCTCATCACAGTCACTGGGAAGATTGTTAATGACACAGAGGCCAGGCTTTACCTTGCCAGCTCATTCCATGTCAGAGAGGGAGCCCAATATGCATTCTTCCCATCACTTTGCCTAATGACTGCCCAGAGAGCCTGATTGAAATGCAAATTCTTTAGCCACAGCCCCAGAAATTCTAATGTTCGGGGTCTGAGGAGGACTAGGAATTGTCATTGTTAACAAGACTTTGGGACCCTGAGGACCGTTGCCCTGGATGCTCTTACAGCACTTTGAAATCTTTTAACATCAGGTATGTGGCTTCCATTTTGGGTTCCTGGGCCCTTAAGTACAGAAGGGGGCTCCCTCCCCTAACCTCACTAGTAGAAAGAGAAGAGGCAACTGGCCAGTCACCTGTCTTGTTCTCTGATTAGCTGATCTGGGCATGCTAGAGCCTAGGGAAGAATTTTCTGTGAGAGACGCTGTGGTTCAGCTACTGACTGCTAGACCAGGTACTGTGTGGAGGTGGGTTTTGCAGGTAAGGATGAGGTATTGATGTATCCTCCTGCCACATTCTGGGCCTTTGCAGGCAAGCCTAACCCATCACAAATAGTGCTCCTTCCTGCTCCACTCCCTGCCCGTACGCTCCATGGCTTCAGGTTGGTCTTGGTACACTTGTGGCTATGGGGCCCCAGCTGGAGGGCAGTTATTCTCCAGCTGGAGGTGGCATGTCCTGAGTGGCTCACATTGCAGGAAGCTGCCTGGAAGGTGACCCTCCAATGGACTCTGGCTTCCCCTGTGCCAGAGGCTGTGTCTGGGTAGAACCACCAGTCCAAGCACAGTGCTGTGCTCTAAGGCTCAAATAGTCTGTCATAACAGTGAGTTGCTTCCGCACAAGCGATACCGTATCAAACAGAGGAAACTTTTGCCATGTTCAGGGCTTGGGGCCTGCTGGGGCAAACCTCACTTGTCTTGCCCTGCAGGGCAAGGGAGCTGGACATTTCTGCTCTGGATGAAGCTCCTGCAGGTGTCGGGTATGACCGGGCTAAGAGTCCAGTGGCTTTAGGAAGGGCCACTGGAATGAGGCTGACTTTTTAATTGCCATCAAATCACTATTCCAGTCTCACCTGAAACTGTTCAGGAAGAGACGGAGGCTTTCTGTAGCCGAGGTGAGGCCTCTAGACTTCTCCCACCATTTCCATCCTGAGCGGTGCTTGGGGACTTTCTCTGAGTTGAGTGTGTGGTGCTGGGAAGAGGTGAACTCCTGCAGGGCTGGAGGAGCATTACTTGTGACTTCCTCTGCACACCTGAAAGAAATGTCCTGCTATTTATTGACTTTTTGAATTCCAATTAAGTAGCTTCGAGGGTGTGACTTAGCCCATCACCTGTGTACTACATCAGTGCTTGCGAACTTTCATGTGCCCATCAGCCCCCTAGGGACCCTGTTAAATGGATATTTGGACTTCACAGGGCTGGGCGGGGGCCTGGGAGTGTGTATTCCTAACCTGCTGCTCCTTGAACCATGCTTTGAAAAGACAGGCCCTAGAAACTTGCCTACACAGACATGCTTCTCATTCGTGCTTAAGCTTGGCTCCTGGGGAAGTTAAAGTTGATTGATGCCCATCAGCAGCAGGCAAATTAGGCAATGCTGTCTGTGTCATGAGCTGTCCTCACTGAACCCACAGAGCTGATGGGTACTACTGGGGCCCCTCATTAGACCTCTGGCTTGTTAAAGCTGTGTTGACATGATGGAACCCTGGGAGCAAGAGAAAGAATATAAACAGAGTGTCATTTTTCCCAGAACCAAGAGACAGAGCTAATTTACCCTCTAATGAAAGGGTGAGTTGTCAGTTAAAAATCCGACATCATTCACAATTCTCTATGCTATTCTGCCTCCCTGTTTTTTGCTTGTGGAATTGACAAGGTGCAGGGAGAAGAAGTGACCACGGCTAAGAAGATGAAGATGCCCAGTGCCACAAAAGAGCACACTCAGTCCCAGGAAAAGGAACAGGCATGCCCGGACACCTGCATACTACCTTCCTGATGAGCGTGTCTTCATGTTTCAGATTCCATGCATTTGCCGAGAGAACAGAGTGTGTAGAATTTCCTGCATTCTCCACAAAGGATGGTGACAGTGTGATGACTTGGAATTCAAGGAAGCTGAAAGGAAAACTCCCTCCAGGTACCTGGAATTCAAAACAAGTGGCCTAGCTTATGTCCCGAGTAGCCTCAGATGATGTGGATCATTCGGAAGTAAAGTATGAGGGAGGGACTCCCCATGATTTTTGTATATTATTATTAATGTGGTGCAAGAGCAGAGTTAATGAATATTAGTGGTGAATCTGTCAGCCTAGCAACCAGGCGTGAGTTTAAAACCCAGGAAAATGGCCTAAGTGATGTGTGTTTACTAACTTGAGAACCTTCTGGGGATATGGTCCTGGGCATGTCAGTGCTGGAGTTAGTTCTTGGCAAGGCAGAGCCATTCTGCTGTGTGGATTCATTGAGAGGCTGCAGAGAGGGTGCCTGCAGTTCTTGTGGGCGGGGGGCGGGGAGGGTTACTGCTGTCCTCCTTGTGATGAAAGCAGGGCCTGTGGATGCAGCTTGAGGGACTGGCCTGCCTCTTGTGAGGGCTGAGGCCACATAGGAACCTTTACGGAGGCAGAATGAACCTCCCCTTTCATTCAAAGAATGCGATCAGAGAACTTAATGAGCACAGAGAATGAGGTCACCAAATCAGCGGGAAATAGGCTGTGATTCAGAAAAACAGTGGAGGTTACTCAGAAAGCCAGGAGATGTAAGTTTCTTTTAAGCTGATGAAATTGCAAAGTGCTGAAGACTCTGAATAAACCCACTAAAAAAAGAAGAGAAGAAAGCTCCTGTTCGATTGTTGGATGAAGTGACCTGGTGGGTTGTGAGAAGTCTAAGAAAGCCCACCCCCACTCTCCCTCTTTTTAAATTATCAGATTTCTAGCTTCATTATAAGGCAGAGGCTACTCTTTGGGAATGAGAGAGAAGCTGTAGCAACAGCTGCTTGAAAGATTTATGTAATGGTGTTGCACAGGCTCCCAGGAGAAGGTTAGGTTGTCAGATGGAGTTAAAAGTGAGGATGAGTCATAAGCCAGTTCCTGACACACACTTTGTAGATTCAAATTCTTGGTGCCCAAGCAGAGGAGGGGAGAGGTTCCCATAGAGTTCACTGGAGGCACTATGTCAGGTAACTGACGCCTTTGCTCCAATTATGAAGGGGACATCTCCACAGAATTCGAGAAAATGCCAACTTATAGGCAAGATCGATGCTAATCTAAGAAGAAATTAATTCAGGATGTATGTCATGCCTATTGAAAGTAATTTACAAGATTAAGCCTAGTGGGCAATGATTTAATCAGGGCAAAGAATGTGAGATGTTACTAGCAACCGAAGGTGAGCCAATTACTGGAAATGAGGTTTAGTCTTGGTCTTTGGATTTCTTGGCATCCTAGTTATAAAGGGAAATACAAACTGCATAGCTTACATTTTCAGCAACTATCATCTTACCAACCCTTTGAAGCATGCAAATTACATACAAAAACATTTTTCTTAGAATAAAATGCTCAACACGGATTGCAGTTCTCAATCCATTTCAGTGATCACATCTGAATTTGGGGGAAGAGTCCCAAATCCTGAATATGTGATCTTGTCTCCTCTGTCCATCACAATGCCCCAGAAATGCCAACATTTCAACCTCTCCCACTCAGAAACTGCCCAGAAACCTTGACAGACTGTTTTGATTTGGAAAATGTGGGATTTCCCACCTCACCTGGGCCTCCGAGGCAGGTTTCTTCCCTTTACCTGGTCACGTCTCTCTCCATTGCCACATCAGCTGTTTCTAGCATTTTCCAGCATCACTTTCCTCAGGCCACCCTCTTGTTTGGTGGGGGAGTGACTTCTTAGATTATTTTCCCCTCTATTATATAGAAAATAGAGACTCTCAAGTAAGGGATTGGAGAAGCATTGCTCAGAGGACTGTCCTGGCAATCCGAAGGAATTTCCTGCTATTATTGACTTTTTGGATTCCAGGTAATTGGCTTTCAGGACATTCTTTGTGTCAATACAAAAAACTCTGCAGTTAAGATAAAGAATGTATTTTTAAAAAATTATAGCATATTTTATATAACATAAATTTACTGTCTTAACCACTCTTAAGCCAACAGTTTCCCCATTCTACTTTCTTTCTGTCTTTCTGAATAGACTACCCTAGGTATCTAATAAATAAGTGCAATTATACAGTATTTGGCCTTCTGCCACTGGCTTATTTCATTTAGCATAATGTCCTCAAGCTTCATCTATGTTGTAATATGTGTCAGAATTTCCTTCCTTTTTAAAGCTGAATAATATTCCATAGTATGGATATACCACATCTTGTCTACCAATGGACTCTTGGGTTCTACCTTTTGGCTGTTGTGAATAATATTATGAATATGGGTGTACAAAATATCTCTTTGAGATTCTGCTTTTCATTCTTTTGGATATATACTCAGAATGGAATTTCTGAATTATATATGGGGATTCTATTGTTAATTTTTTTTTTTTTTTCAGAAACCTTCATACTGTTTTCCACAGTGGCTGTACCATTTTACATTCCTACCAACAGTGCACAAATTTTCCACATCCTGGACAACACTTGTTATTTTCTATATTTTTGATAGTAGCCATCATAATGGGTCTGAGGCAATATCTCATTGTAGTTTTAATTCACATTTCCCTAATAATTATTTTTATCATCTTTTCATGTGCTTATTGAAATTTTGACTGAATATTTTAAAGAGTCAAAATTAATGCCACAAAAATCCATGATGATGAAAATATCACAATTTCAAATAAAGGCAGTCTCCAACAAGACTCTGGAGCCTGAGGCAAGAGGAGAAATGTGTGCCTCTATATATATGTTTTTATTATTTGTAATGATAATTTGTTTCTAGGTTATTAAGTTAAAAATATTGAACAATTGAGATCGATCCAAGATGGCCGACCACTAACAGCTCAGGATTGTAGCTCCCAGTGAAAGCTCAGAGAACGAGATGACGCCACAACTTTAGACGAATTTTCGTCACTCACCGATTAGCCGATTCTCAGTGGAGGAGCCCCACGGGTCGCCAGCGCGACTCTTGTGGCCGCTGCAGCGGTTTTGCCGGCGTTTCGGCGCAGCAGCTCTTCATGCAGAGCCAACAGGACTGCTTCCCCTACTGACCGGAGTTTGGAGCTCCAGGAAGTCAGAGCCGCTTGTTGCGGACTCAAGAGGGAAGCCAGACCAGAGATTCCCGGGCAGAAGAGCACCATCAGTCTTACCGCTGCTATTTAGGCTGCCACAGTGGGTGGCTCAGATCCCAGCACTGGGAATCAATAAGTCGGATGTCGACTCAGAAACCTAATTAGAAAGTCGGGTCATCTACAATGAAGGGAAAAAAACAGCCTAAGAAGGCCGAATATGCTCAAAATCAGAACCCATCAGCAACGGAACAAGCCCTGATGGAAAAGGACTCATCAGCAACCGAACAAGCCCTGATGGAAAAGGACTCATCAGTAACGGAACAAGCCCTGAAGGAAAAGGACTGTGTTCCATTATCTGAAGTAGGCTTTAAAAGGTGGATGATAAGAAACTTCTGGGAGTTAAAGGAACTTGTTCTAACCCAATGTAAAGAAACTAAGAACTTGGAAAAAAGGTTCGATGAAATGATGAAAAGAATAGACAATATAGAGAGGAATACAAATGAACTTATGGAGTTGAAAAATACAACACGAGAACTTAGTGAAATATGTACAAGCTTAAACAGCCGAATGGATCAAGCAGAAGAAAGGGTATCAGAGGTCGAAGACCAACTTAATGAAACAAAACGACAAGACAAGAATAGAGAAAAAAGGATAAAAAGGAATGAGCAAAGTCTCCAGGCAATATGGGACTATGTGAAAAGACCTAATATATGCTTGATTGGTGTACCTGAATGTGACGGAGAGAATGAATTCAAGCTGGAAAATACTCTCCAGGACATTATCCAAGAAAATTTTCCTAATTTAGCAAAGCAGGACACTATTCAACCCCAGGCAATACAGAGAACACCACAAAGATATTCCTCAAGAAGACCAACTCCAAGGCACATAATCGTTAGATTCACCAAGATCGAAACGAAGGAGAAAATATTAAGGGCAGCCAGAGAGAAAGATCAAGTTACCCATAAAGGTAAACCTATTAGGCTTACAGCAGATCTCTCAACGGAAATAAGTTAGAAGAGAGTGGGGGCCAATATTCAATATACTTAATCAATATAACTTTCAGCCCAGAATTTCATATCCCAATTTAAGCTTTACATTTGAAGGAAAAATAAAATCTTTTAGGAACAAGCAAGTACTCAGAGATTTTATTACCACCAGGCCTGCTTTACAAGAACTTCTAAAAGAAGCATTATACACAGAAAGGAACAACCAGTATGACCCTTTCTAAAAATACACCAAAAAGTAAAGAGCATAAACATAAAGAAGAATTTTTATCAATGAAAGGACAAAATAGCCAGTTAATATCAAATGGCAGCAACCCTAAATTTAAATCGACCAAATCTCCCAATCAAAAGATACAGACAAAATCTAACGGTATATCCAAAGATATACATAGACTCAAAATAAAGGGTTGGAAAAAAAAAAAAACGTACCAACCAAATGGAGAGCAAAAATAAATAAAAAGCAGGAGTTGCAATTTTCACATTTGACAAAATAGATTTCAAAGCTACAAGGATACAAGGGTAAAAGGATTAATGTAATAATAAGAGATCTTAACACCCAGATACATAAGACCCATAATGAGATTTAGATTCAATGAGACAGAAAATTGATAACGATATCCGGGACTGGAACTAAGATCCAGAACAAATAAACTCAATAGAGCTCTCCATTTTAAACACACAAAATATACATTATCCACAAAATCTAACGATATATTTAAAGATATACAAAGACTCAAAACAAGGGGATGGAAAAAAACTCACCAACCAAATGGAGAGCAAAAATAAATAAATAAAAAGCAGGAGTTGCAATTCTCACACTTAATAAAATAGATTTCAAAGCTACAAGGATGCAAGGGTAAAAGGATTAATGTAATAATAAGAGATCTTAACACCCAGATACATAAGACACATAATGAGATTTAGATTCAACGAGACAACAAATTGATAACGATATCCAGGACTTGAACTCAGAGCCAGAACAAATAAACACAATAGAGTTCTCCATTTTAAACACATAAAATATGCATTAACCACTTAAACACTCAAAATATTGATCGGCCATTATTGAAACCCATTCTAGGAATGAAGTAATATTCCTTTTTCCCTCTTTTTCTTCTTTTCCCCTTCTTTTTCTCTTTTTCCCTCTAAAAAAAAAAAAAAAAAGGCTGCTGGGAAGGGTATTTTATCTCTTGGACAAGAGGTGGAATTACTCAGACTTAGGAACCCCAAGTGTCAGGAGGGGCTTGCCAGGTATGTGTCTACCGTGAGGGTCTCTGCAGTCATCCTTGTGCCTACCAAGTTTGAAGTTAGGTCCTAAAAAAAAAAAAAAAAAAAAAAGATATTGAACAATTAAAATGTGTATTAATACATTATTTTAAATTTAGTATTTTGGGAGTATATCTCTTGCTAAAGCTTTTATTCATCACACATACTTTCAAAGTTGCTTTCTCACATTTCTAATAATTTACAACTCTGAATTGAAAATGAGATAAGAAATAGACTTAGAACATACTTTTTAATTGATGAATTTGTTTCCATCAAGATTAGGAATGTAAAATAATAAATTCTGTTTTGGTATAAATAAAATACTGAATGTAAATTTTAATATTCCTACTTTTAAATTTTCTAATATTTTTTCAACTACTTTAATGTTCTGGGAAAAAATTACCCATTGCAAATCCATGACATCATGTGTTCAGGGAGGTACATTGTTCCCGTTTGCCTCCGGCTGCAACATGGCTGCAGGTCGCCCTGCTCAGCAGGCTGCCCTGCTCAGCAGGCTCCTCCCACCTTCTTACCCCATCCACATCCCTCTTCCACATGTTGCACATCATTTTCAAGCTCTGTCTGAATGTCTGCCATCTCTTGGGCCGTGCGCACTTGCTCTCATGTAACCTCTGGAAGATGCTCCTTTGCTGCCCTGCTTTCTTTCATGTAAACATTACCTTTTGAGGAAGCCCTCCGTGGCCAGTCTCTCCTGTTGGTACTTTTAGGCTGCTTCTTGAGGCATCTGCTGCAGCATATAAGCCATAGACAGGACCGTACCTTTTAATGGTAATCTGGGAAGGTCCAGAAACCAGAGCAGGCAAGAATCTTTGTTCACAAACTCCTGTATGCTAGACAGATACATTAAAAAATTCCATAACTGTATTTTTTCATGAGCTCGCCCCCATTTTCTTACATACTGGGAGAAAATGTGCAGAATCCTTGTATTTCCCTGCTGTGTATGCCCCCTGAGCCCAGGGAGCAGAGAGTGATGACTAAGGTAATGTGTGCGGGGCAGGTGGTGGGTGGGGGACAGATCTCATAATATCTCATGACATGGTCTCTACCATTTGCTCCTGAAGCAAATCTTGGTATTTCTAGAAAGGAACAACTTTTCACCTGTGTGAGGGTAGGGCCAGATTGCTTACCTGTACTGGACTCCCAGGCCCTTGGAGCAGCTACTCAGCTGAGTGGTCAGAATCCCAGGGCCCCAAAAGCTTGGTGCCTGACCCTGGGCACCTGGTGGTCATCTCACCTTTTATTTCCAGGGATGACTTCCTGTCTTAGAGATTCTGCTTCCTCCCAGCACTGATCCAACCCATCCAGGAATATTCCACCAGCCTCAGATGGGCTCCCCTCCTTGGGGAGAGCAGGATCTTTGGCTTGGATTTACAGAGTGCAGGAGATTTAGTCTGGCAGATGCTGCTGACTGGAAGCTGCCACTCATCTTTTAAGCCTCTCCTCCTCATAGGTGTCCTTCCGCTTGGCTTTCGGCCCAGAATTGGCTGGGTCCCTGCCCCTATTCCCACTCCTGGGGCA